AAATCGAGGATCTTCTTATTTATTAACTTTTTGGCATATGTAAGTAAATGCGCTGTAAAAATGCCTTACTAGAAATTCGTTTCGCTTGAATTTCTCTCCAGAATTTATTCTCATAGAAATTACATTTATCATTGACATATAAACGGCAGTCCAGGATTTTTCCAGACGCTTTCAGTTATGGAACGCAGCTGCCGCGCAGTCCAGCGAAAAGATTCGTCTTTAAATCGCAATTTTGATTGGGCGGCGCTGGTCAAACTGCCTCGTCATGGCGATGTCAGCAAGTGTCGGTGTAGGAAAGCAATACATTCATGCCATATTAGGAGAAGCAGAAGCTTATTGGTGCGCCTAAAGGAACCGGCCAACCGAAAAAAACTGGAAAGTGCGAGACGTCTCAATTTATTCTGCGATTTACGGGGAGCTGCATAAGAAGAAACGAAGCGCATTAGGTCGAAGCATCGTTTGTCTCATTGCAGATGAAGCAGAGCCTCTAAGTTGCTTCTTGTCTTTACAATCGTGATGTTTAATTAAAGCGGCTCGCGCTACTGAAGACCAGCCAATTAACGAAAGCTTTTCTTAAGAATTATTCGGGTCATATCTGTACGAAGTACGGCCGCTACAATGATAGAAACTCAACGCCAGGCGCCGTGATAAGCAACAACATGAATGTTAATGCTTAAAGTGTGTTAATTTAGCGTCTAAGAATTGCTCATAATATAACCTAGCACAAAATAAGTTGCACATAATATAGCATAGTACAAAATAGGTTGCTCTATTCAGGTAACCCCATGGAAAATGAACTCTATTTGACTGTAATTCTTTTGGAGTGCGATTTGCATTTATTGTCTCATTGTTGAAGGTTTAGTCGCTAGACATGGAAAAATTTTCTGTGGTTACATTGAAAACTCTTCATCGAAATACATACGCATTTATTACTTTCAAAATGAATGTCCCAGTATTTACCGAGCACCTTAAATGAACCTACATGATTTAATAAATCTCTTGAATTTCCTACTTTGATAACAAACAAAATGTTATTAGTTATTATTATTAGTTTGCAGCACAACCGACAGCCTTCGGCTGATAAGCAGAAGCACTCGAACTCCTTTCATTAGGCTGCATATCAAGGAATTTAGAAATAAATGCAAACTGATGTTAGCTCTGACTAATTTGAAATCAATAATGCTTTGTTTCTCTACTTTCAGAGTCAAGAAAATTTCAGTTTTCAATGCAAGTTCAATTTCAATTCAACAATTAGCGATTTTCATTTAACATTTCCTCATTAATGCATTTATTATTGCGAATTTTTATGAAGTTCGACTGAACTGAGAGCTGAAATTGACAAGTCATTAAATCTTTTCAATCTCATTTATAATATTTCACACTATTTATATTATATAATATATCGCACTATATTTTTTATTTCCTTATGCTTACAACACCATACCTAAGCAGTTAACATTCCAGGTCGGACCAGCCTGCTTATCGTGCGACGCTCATTAATGCGGATGTTGATGCATTTTCATTCCCTCACAAGTGGCCATCTCTGTCAGCCGCCGAAAGCAAAACCTTGCGTATTGAATTTACGACAATTAAGGAAAATTTATCGCCCAGCATTAAAATGCCGGAATGGAAATGAGGAGAGGGAGTCAGCTCAGGCTCTGACACCTGAAAGCCTCCTGACGGTGTCGAGCTAATGTCGGAGTCATGGGGGTGCCTTCCTAACCGATGTCGGGGGAAAATTCAGAGCTGGTTTTCTGCGTACGGGAAGGAAGTGGAAAAATTCAGAGCTGGTCTTCAGCGACATGCTGAAATTACACGCATTGATGCCTACAGAAATTCAGTATCAAAATATCAACACATACCTAAAGACTAACATACAATACAGTCAAAAAAAGTTAAGAGATCGTAAGTTCATCAGCCAATCATTGACGGCCTTTCAAGCAAAATCCACCAATCATAGACAAGAAAATAGAGCGTAAGTACTTACGTTCACTTAGCGAATTTTGAAAGTACGGCCCCAGGATATGACTTGAAAAGTATGTTTGATACCGTGTGGTATGGATGCATTTTTACTTTGTGAATATTTTTACAACAATGTGTAACTATCGAAAATTTTTCCAATGCCATAGACTAGCTTTCTGAAGCAAACTTTTTATGTAAAATAATTTAGAATGTTTTGAGGATCGGCATTCTAATAATTTATTTAATCCAAGTTGTATCTAATTTTTTCATGATGGTCTTCAAAACTTCGTTTGATGAGATAAACGTCCAAGTTTCATTTTGATCAATAATTTTTGTTACTTATATTTTGCTAACATCCAGAGAAAATCTTCGCGCAAAAAATATGTATTCAAATTTACTGTTGTCTAACCGCAAGTTGAACGATTCCTCTACCCTTGTTGCGTGAGCTTAAAGAAAGTTAAGAACTAAATAATTTCTTGATGAGAGTGAACATTTATTCCGAGATGGCAATGTTGTATTAAACAGAGATTACTTTTTTTCGCAGAACGTGTTCCAGGGTTTAGTGAAACGAACTAACCGGCGGCAGGGTGGATCTCTGCTGTCTTATAAGGCGAGGCAAAATCGTGCCGAAGCGCAGCGTGTTTATTTTGGTTACTGCTGTAGAAATACTTGTTGGCGCCAGACCTGTAAATCTCGATGCCAGATCCGCCCTCAATGTTATTCCTACGAGGCTTTGCAATTGGGTTTACAGGTCAAAAGTTGAGGCCATGAGAGTAAAGGAAATCTCAGGCGGCCGCTGAGGCTAATTCCCACGATTATGGAAGAGCTTGGAAGTTTTACTACACGTGCGACTGCTGGAACTCTACCGTCTACACACATCATACTCGTAAATGTTTACTTGGAATGTTATAAGTCCTACGAGGTTCATAAACTCCAGGTTAACCTTTGCTATAAGTGCCATATTTGCTATAAAAGTCCATGTCTAATATATTAAAGAGGCATAACACATTATATCAACCGTTCGTTTAACCTTCACACAGGCAATTATTAACCGTTCGTTTAACCTTCACAAACGCAGTTGAAGTCTAATGTAATTGCGTCAAATAAAGCGCAATTGCAAGATGATCTTGACAGCTTAGTTAACTGGGCTGATACGTGGCAGCTGCGGTTTAATGCTGACAAGTGTAATATGGAAGAGCTTGGAAGTTTTACTACACGCGGACTGCTGGAACTCTACCGTCTACACACATCATACTCGTAAATGTTTACTTGGAATGTTATAAATCCTAGGAGGTTCATAAACTCCAGGTCAACCATTGCTATAAGAGCCATATTTGCTATAAGAGCTCATATTTAATATATTAAAGAAGCATAACATATTATATCAACCGTTCGTTTACCTTCACAAATGCCGTTGAGGTCTAATGTACTGGCAACTACTGGTGACTAGAACGATCTTTAGTGGACAAATGTTAACATTCTGAAAAGTAGTAAAATTATATTGTTAATGGTAGTTTCATCGTGACTAGCGATAACGGAGCTAAATTCAGTTAAATGAAACCCACTATATATAATCTAAGCAGGACCATATCAACACGATTTACCTTAAATCATTTAGAGGCCGCTGAAATGCCCATCATGAATTACATAATATTATATAAAGTTATGGAAGTATGGCGGACTTTCCCGCGCTGTGCCCATAATTGCCATATCGTCATCGTACGGTCAACTGTAAAAGATTTTAAAACACGGATTTGTTGAATTAAAAAATTCTTATAGCATGATGAATGTTGATATCAGAAAATAACATTTACGCTTCTTTGTGATGCAATCAACGGCATAGTACTTGAATTTCTGTTGAACATCGAAAAAATGTCCAATAATGCGTTGTGATGCAACATTGCAACATTTTCATAGCTGAACATCGCAAAAATTCGGAAAACTTGACTGCGTAGCCTCGAGAATGCAGTCCAGGAGGGCGGCGACTCGTTGGGCTTTTCCAAGTCATAAATTATTCAGGGAAATTCATCGCGGCTGCGGCCGCTGAATTAAATGAAGAAGAAATCCCCACTGAGCGTTTGAACACAAGCGCCGGCCATCTGATATGATAGAGTAAAGAACTTTATCTCCGGGACTTGTATTCTTTAACTTATATAAGGGACTACAACGGCCGTAGCTTGGCCGATATGGGAAGCTCTTCGCTGCATGAAAAGACATGGAGGATGCCGCAGAAATGTACATTACATATTTACGTATATTTAATATATATTAATGATTGGCAGCTTCCGTGTTCTATTCACTTAGTATATAACTAATGGAGACGTGAAAAATTATTCCATTGTTTTACTAAAAACTGGAGTGCTAAATTTGTATAAAAATACATTAAGATGAGAGTACACTTGAGGAATCGAGACTGCAGAGCTTCTGAATAAAAAAAATTAATTTTAGAATCAATCTGAAAATTTAGCACGCAATTTTTCTGAAGGAACATGTTGAGTTCGCTCATTACAAGATGTATGGGGAGTATATTTATTAATAATAACTGTTATGACCTTACACGTGCCTAGATAGCTCAGTTGGGAGAGCGTTAGACTGAAGATCTAAAGGTCCCCGGTTCGATCCCGGGTCTGGGCAGATTGTTTTATAAACGTAAAAGAAAAATCGTAGGAGTGCATCCTCCAGTTAGAAAACGGAACAAATCTAAGAATGTACGAGTAGCTCAAGAATCGATATGAACTAATTTTGAGAAATGGTCTCTAATTAACCTTTGAGGGTATAATTTTAACCATGTATTATTTAATTGCGTGGAACAAAGTGAACGCATCTCTAAAGAATTAAAAGATCGTAATGCACTGAGCGAGTACAGCTAAGAGATAAACATCTCATTAACCCATGTACATTTTACTCGCACTTAAATTTAACCAAGTAACTTTAACCAAGGTTAACTCTAAGTTAACCATTTTACTCGCACTTAAGTACAACTTACTCATTGGAACCAAAGAACGACGAGTACAGCATAGGAGTAATAAAAAGTTTCGTTGATGGGTCATGTTTAATTCAGAAGAAGATTATAGCATCACAGCATCGTATTGTTGGCAACAAAGGCACCCAATGAGCATATATTGACGATTAAATATAAGCACTGGAAGAAATAAAAGGTCATTTGTCCAAATAGCGATGAACTTTTCGCCATCGCGTGAGTTATCCTGACCCAGTTTGGCCCAGCAAATGAGCGTATCAGTGCTACGTAAGCTCCCTGCTCGTGCTGTGGGTTTGAAAGTGGGTCAAAACTTGGATAATATGGCCAGACCGATAAATTCTTCTAGTACGGAGTTAATAGCGCACTGAAAACATGGAAGCTTATATACGGTTATAAACAGAATGATTATATACGGGTATGAACAGAATGATTATACAAGGTTATGAACAGAATGATTATACAAGGTTACATGAATAGAAGCATGAAGGTCAAACGGAAGACATGAAGTTCAACAGGAAAACTTACATAAAAGTCTTTGAAGACTAATGCACATGTTACTTGAAATAACAAAATTAAGGATTAAAATAAGAAATTACGTACATGCTTATAACGCCATGATAAGAATCACATTCACATAAACTGTGAATAAACAAAGTACGGATTTCATTCTCTAAGAATAATACCCTACAAAACCCTTTTCTTAAGTAAATACCCCTTAATAAACCCTAGAGAAGAACTCCTAAAGAAATCAATCTGCTACGGAAGCTGCAGTTAAGACAAATAAAAAGCTACCAAAGCTGCTGGCGACTCAAGTGCAGGTTCATCTAGACATGTCGCAACGATAGAGTCGTCGTATGTTTGAAGAAACATGAATAACCAGTGCTAAAAAATTAAATACGTGTCATTTAAATTATTGCGCAATTTATCCACAATTGATAAAAAAGTATGCAATCCACAATTGATAGGAAAACAACATCATTAAAGGTAGATGTCAGGCTAATAATATCTGGCGATCCAGCCCTGAAGTTGATCCAGTACCAATAACCATGGAAATAAAGGCCAAAGTACCTATCTGTAGACATGGAAATCGAGATAAAAGTATAGAACCATAAGAATTCTCGTCGTTGGAAGCCACTTTGTGTAATCATGAAAGTTTACACAAGAAATCACAGAATAACATAGACCTGAGTACCTCAGGCATTTTGGTGGACAATGGCGATTTCTCCCAACGAAGGTAATCAATTAATCAACAGAAGTGAACAAAGTTAATTCGTTCTCGCCAAGGCCTCAGAAAAAAAAATTCTCCTTCTCATTATGCTCGTCATTGACAATAATTTCCTGTTCGGAATTCACAGCTTGTCCGATCTAATTCTACCTAAATTGTTTCAACAAGATGCGTAAAATCACAAGACCAATACTAAATCCAAGTTCGCCTCTAATAAGGTTCATATCTGGCCGCTTTTTTGCGCTTGCTACCGCCACGAGGCGTGTTTTCTGGACTAAAAACATCATCTGAAACCCCGGGACTTCTAGGATCCCGACCGTGACCGCGACTCCCTACTCCCGCACTGCTCCCTAGGAACCCTCTGCGAGGCGGACGATCATCGGGGAAAGTTAAAGGCTCATGATTCTCTAAACCTAACAAGCTTTTGTCTTCATTATTTTCTCTTGGACTTTCATATTTTCGGGGACCGGCGTACTGCTTGACACGACGTCGTCCGTCCCGAGGCGACGGAATCGGTCGTTCAGTTCGGGTTGGTCCGCCGCCCTCGCGCTGCTGGTAGAAGTAAGGGTCGTAGCGCTGCTGGCTGGCGCTGGCGTAGCGGGTGTCGCTAGGGGCGCGCTTGAACCGCAGACGAGGAGGCTCTGCGGTGTCGGGGTCGCAGGGGGGCATCCAGGGCCCCCGGCGAGACGACACGCTCTCGCTGCGTTCCAAATGCCTGAAGGAGACCAAGGTATTGGGTGGGTGTGATTACCGGCATCGAATACATTTGATAGAAATACTGAACAGCACTTACGGAATATACGTGCAAAATGCGTGTTTTAATTTACAAATTGTTCAAAAACGCGCGTAATTTTGTTGAAATATTACATGATAATGTTGTTTAACGAGGCTACATCAGAATAGGAAATTCACAAGCACACTGATCTCAGAAAATAAAAAATTATAATCTAATAATTATGAACGAAATCTTTGCATGCAATCAATTTCAGGTAAATGTCAACACGCATGCATGAATTAGACACAACGGAAACAATAGTCAACGAATCCAAGGGAAAAACCCACATGCCAAAAGGGCGCTCAATAATAAAACCAAAACGAAATCGGTAGTTTAACGCAACCTTTTTTTACCACGAGGTGTGGTATCTTCCTCGTCCGACGTACGAGACGAGTTGTTGGGGGTGACGTGCCAAGCTTCAGCGTCGTCACGGGCACGCGGGGTCCATCTCCTCGAGGAACGTCCGTTCATCGGTGACGGAGTTGCGTTTGCATCGTCGTTATATGAATTTCGCGGTCGTCGCCAATCATTATCGCGATCCGCGCGCGAATTGTAACCGTCGTAACTCGAGCGCCGAGAATTCGGAGTGTGAGATTTCGAGGTGAGAGGTATTTCGTAATTTGGTGTCTCACTTGGTTGTAGATTTTTAATCCACACTCCGTTTTTCCAGCCACCTTGGCCGTTCGTGCGGTTCAGAACGATCTTGTAAGAGCTGGGGTCTTCGTTGATCCACAAAGCTTTACGTAAGTTATCAGTGTAGTTCTTACGTTCCTGAACGTGGCCACGCGCACTATCGAAATCTGCGGACCAATAGGAATGCTTGAAATTTAAGGGGTGTTAAACTAGGTTGTTACACGTGTGCACGAAACTATACTTGTAATTAAATACTGATAATAATGACTTCATTGCCAATACATAAGACTTCACTCTCACGATGAATATCTACATCTATAGAGTGCAAACACGTGTCGAAAGATCTTTAATTATATCAAATATCTAAATGCCACAATTCATTTCAGTGCAATTTAATAGAAATTTAGAAACTTTTCGATGGAAATTAAACGTCAAAAAGGAAAAATTATAACACCATTTGATTAAAATATTATGAAATATTATGACTAAAAATTACCTGCAATGGCCTGATCAGGTGCCATGTCCATGACCTGGATCATGTATCTGTTGAATAACAAAATAATATGATTACTTCGTAACCATTCTTAATGCTTATTAATACCATGATCGTCGGTCATTCATGTTTCACAGCTATTTACAAAGACTGCTCAAAAAATAATTCCAGGTATAAGGCACACATTCATTTTTCTCAACAGTTTGCGTAGGTATAAAATATTAGTAAGGAATTTTAATGTCAGGCCCGAATGTTACAGTGACTGAGTTCATATTTTCAAGTACACCAATGAAATTAAACAGTTGCGCTTCGCATTCGTCCAATAGCTTCCAACAGGATTTTAGCACACCGAGACGCTCATTGTCAACAATCATTCTATTATAAATGTATATAGTACTATAAATAACACGAAAGGGAAAACTGTAATAAATAATAAATGTAATAATGGAATGATATTTCATAACTTCTGTATATTGCATAACATAATAAAATTTAAATTAATTTACCTGCATACGAGGTAGCCCGTTCTATTGACGCCATGAGTGCAGTGAACTCCTACCAGTTTGTCTGCACAAAACAAAGTTACTCGCATTAAGAAACAACCTAGTGAATCTTCTTCAACATTAGAAATAAAGATCACAAATGTCGTGGTATAAGTGAAATAAAATAATGAAACTATCCTGTTATACGAAACCTGGAGTTTTTGGACATTTCAATTTCTCTCAACCTTTGTTTAGTCTGACAGAGCGATTAATATTTTTCAAGTTTATGCAATCGAAACGAATTACGTAGTGACGAATTCATATGAGTAGGTGTTGATGTTGCAATTATTCCGAGCTAGACAATTTAATAAGACAAGAAGAAGGACTTAGGAGTTAGTAAAGATCACATACCGTTATCTGGATTGCGCTCGAAGAAATCATTCACAGAGTCGATGAACCTGGAAAAAACAATAAAAACGCTTTAAATAAATAAATATTAAAATTTTATTGCTAGAAGCAATATATTATTAATGGAAGAATAAAGCATAATATGAATTTAATTTATCGACGTAGAAACTTTCACACATTTCTGCGGGTGGCGTCTCCACATCGTGATGCTTCGCCTGTAGATATTTTTCTATGTACTGGACCCACAGGTTGAACGACATTGTATATTGGCTGCAGATAGCACACAAAACACAGCTGTGTTTTTGGGCGAAACTTGTACTTGAGAGCAACGCCAGTCACACAGAACCGCAGGGCAAGGCTCGTAACTTCAAACAGATTAATGTTTTACAAAAAGTATGGACCACACAATAAGCGGAGTCTGCCATGCCTATGCCCCAAATGCCAAATGGAATTATCAAAGCACGAAATTAAACGAATTAAAGTAGGCTGTGAAATTTAAGCACGATTACGTCAGAATTTCATCACAAGAAGGGACAGTTATATTGTAGTATTATTTTTCTATATACGTATGTTGGTATAACATCACGTGAGGGTAAGTTGGGTCGTAATGTGCGTTATGATGTTCTCCCCCTAAATGATTGGTTATGTTGTTCACATTACCCGGAGCAGTAGTTGCGAAGAGGGATAGAAAGTGGGTAGAAAAATTAATTTATTAGAAGAAAACGGAAAAATTTAAAGCCCTCATCGTTTTTTAATGTCTTGTCTTTTTGATTCATTTAGTGGACGCCCGGAACAAAAATAACGCAAACGACTCTAAAATAACATTTCTTAACCAATCTTGGTTCTATTTCTAATGTTGCCTTGCCATAATAAACATGGTAAAAATAAGGTAGTTACAACAGAAATAAAGTGTTAATGATTACGAGAAAAGCGATTGTGCAACAAGCAATTTACTTGTTAGGTCACGTTCATCATGAAAATTTGGCAGGCTGATTACCGGTTGTCAACAATTGGAAAAAAGCGAATAAGACTTGACTTTTTTAAGCCACAGGTCCAAGTTTGGCAAGATTACACGACCTTTCTTCCTTATACGGCGCTCCGGTCAAACTTAGGCGCCGTTCGTAACATGGGAGTTACCCTCAACGTTTCCTCTAGACAGGTGGCAACCCAGTGTGGCATTTCCTGTGCCATCTAGGACTTCATCGTAATAAATACATGTCCATTATTCGTGAACCCAACATCTAGACACTCCTCTGATAAACCTCTACCGGCATTTAAATATCCGTCTATTTGGACGCGACGCCATAAATCCTCGAGTCTTTTTCGAGCGCCAGCTTCAACCCAACGCTATAAATCCCAGGTTCTTTTGATATGAACGATCATTTGGGCGGACTTCCTTAAGGAAATACTCAGTTAACCGAGGACAGCTTGGACACTGCGCCACATTTTACGCTCCTTGTACCTCCCCATTGCTGTAGGCACGATACATGCAAATTGAGCTAGCTGGAAAGTCCTGCACTGAACAAAATATGGGCATTGGAATAAGTTCTTCCCATTCGGGTATTGTAATAGTTCCAAGTTTTCGAGTCGTAATCTGAGAAGCTTCAGCTAAAGATACGTCATGCAAATGTTAAATTATAAGTGTAGAATTCAGTTGCATTTTAAACTGGCGAGAAATAAAAATTCTGCGTAGTGGTGTTTTTTAACACACCAATAATTCCGCTGATATAAATAATATCTTTTCACCATTAACAAAGATGAAATCAAATTAACGTACCGGTTGCAGACCAGTGATAAGGGCGGGAATATCCTTGCACGATCCAAGGATATCCTTGCATAATCCAGGGATATCCTTGAACCAAGTCGGGCAGCAAAGGATGTGCCCAAGTCTTACTTAGCGTTGATGGGCGTCGTCTGGCGCTTCTTTGCCGCCCGGCGTTAACCAAAGATGGCACTCGATTTCTAGATGATGGCACACACCTTCAAAATACGGCACTCACATGCCAAACCCGGTTGCCCTGCCTGCAGTTAGATGCGTACGCCGACGCTTACAAGTCGTGAAATCACATCTTGTGCTCCCAAGACATCATTTTACGTGAATGGCGCCTCACGCCTTCTCTTGAAGTGGTAGTTCGAGATTCGTATAGGACGCATGCGTTCGTATTGTACAAATTTATCCACAACTGCGTTAAAAAAATATGACTACGACAAAATTGACCACAATCGTGTCTAGTAGGTCATTAAGAATTTAATATCAAACATCTTATAAAGTAAATCAAGAAAATTTCAAGTTCCGCAGCCGAAGGAGCGAAACCTAATCGAGGGCGCAAGGAAGTTCCTTTGCTGAGCCGCAATGCATCAGACGCAATAAATTGCGTGATCTTTTGTGGGCAAATCTTCGAAACTGCGACGAATTTTTCCACGATATTCGATATTCAAAAATAAAACTGTAACGTAAGAAAATTCGAATAAATCAGCACCAATAAAGCATTTAAAAAAGTATTCAACTTTTCATAGAAAGCTGATAGTTCTTTTATCTTGGAAAAAAATCCAGACGGGAGCATCTTTGTGCGGTAAAAAAAAACAAGAAAAAATTAATTATTTTTTAAGCAACGATCGCACGTAACCGATGATATGATAAGCTGCGCGATGATGAGCTAATTTGATACAGCTCACGTACCAACATTGGCACAGCGGTACCAGCATGGCACGATTAACAAGGTACGCCTTACTGAGGCTCTCTTACAAGGTAAGGTGCGAGGAGGGGCACTGCAGGTATAGCAGGTGTCAGAGACCTGGTGCAGGTAAGAGCCATATAAGATAAGCATGCCAGAGACCGGTCAGGAAGGAAGGAATAGAGGAAGGAAGACTCGCTGCATCCCGTGCACAACACGCATCAATGCAGTGGGTGTCCTCAACCCCAAAACCGGTGCTAACGTCAACTGCATCGCCGACAGCGGAGTTGATTGTGGGCGACAAACGGACATGCATGCCGACTTCACACCACGGTAAATTGCGAGCGCCAGAAAACACACAAAAAAAATCATGGTAAATTGCTTGTTGTTGCGGTAAAATAAGTGGAACATGTTCCATGGAAGAGGTATTACAGTGTACGAATTTAACTATGGCAGTGCCTCACGTCAAATTCATGAGGTAAGGGCGTATAATCATTATTAAAAATATACTGGTTAGCACGTGATAATAAAAAAAGTTATACAAATGATTCCTTGCATTACATACGGTCAGTACAATACTTCATAGTTGCAGCGAGACGCAAAACCTACACAGAAGACGCCAGAAAAAAGTGCGGAGTGCCGCACAGGCAGCGCAGTTCTTGAGTGATGACACAAGGTCGGAAAAATAGCAGGCGGCTGGCCTAAGAGCCTCTCGAGACTTGGCACGCTCGCCGCGACTGACAGCTACCGAAGACATGGAAAAAAATCCCTTTAAGAAGAGAGTCCAAAGTTCCTGGAACACCAACATTGCGTTCTGGGTACTCTGAACAGCAGCAACCGTAGTGCTAGAAACAGCATTGGCAGCAGCAACGACGTCGGCATTTGCATCAACGGCATTCACAGCAGCTACGGCATTCACAGCAGCAACGGCATTCACAGCAGCTACGGCATTCACAGCAGCAGCGGCATTCACAGCAGCAGCGGCATTTGCCATAACAGCAGCAACGGCATTAACATCAGTAAACGCACCAGCGGAATTTGCAGCAGCAAAGGCAACGTTATTTGTCGCAGCAGCAATAACGACAGAAACGAAAAAAATTGAAGCATTTCCCGTAGTCTAATAACATTTTCCACAGTAGCCACGTTGATTTTAATGCAGCAATAGCAGTACCGACGGAACAGAAACGACGAAATGTGCCATAGCAGAAGCAACAGTAGATATTGCAGATCTACAATAGAACAGCGATTAGAACAGAAAATTCTATTGTGGCAATAGAGCTTCCATAACACTGCAAGTAATAGCGTCAACATCCAGCATGGCAATAGCATACCTACTAACTTAACAGATACTGATTGTAGCATAACATTTAAGATGCCTTATATTTTCTGGATTCGGCAGGTTCTCCATGTGCGGCAATGGACAACATTCACGGCATGTTCTCCATGTGCGGCAATGAACAACATTCACGGCATGTTCTCCATGTGCGGCAATGAACAACATTCACGACATGTTTTCCATGTGCGGCAATGGACAACATTCACGGCATGTTCTCCATGTGCGGCAATGGACAACATTCACGGCATGTTCTCCATGTGAGGCAATGGACAACATTCACGGCATGTTCTCCATGTGCGGCAATGAACAACATTCACGGCATGTTCTCCATGTGCGGCAATGAACAACATTCACGACATGTTCTCCATGAGCAGCAATGGACAACATTTACGACATGTTCTCCATGTGCAGCAATGGACAACATTCACGGCATGTTCTCCATGTGCGGCAATGAACAACACTCACGACATTGTTCTCCATGAGCAGCAATGAACAACATTCACGGCATGTTCTCCATATGTGGCAATGGACAACATTCACGGCATGTTCTCAATGCAGCAATGAACAACATTCACGGCATGTTCTCCATGTGCGGCAATGAACAACATTCACGACATGTTCTCCATGAGCAGCAATGGACAACATTCACGACATATTCTCCATGTGCAGCAATGGACAACATTCACGACATGTTCTCCGTGTGCAGCAATGGACAACATTCACGACATGTTCTCCATGTGCAGCAATGGACAACATTCACGACATGTTCTCCATGTGTAGCAATGGACAACATTCACGACAGGTTCTCCATGTACGGCAATGGACGACAACATTCCAACATCAAAGGCATGTTCTTCATGTGCAGCAATGAACAACATTCACGACATGTTCTCCATGTGAGGTCGTAGTGTAGGCGGCCTGGCTAGGAGTCCTGGGCATATTTGCGAACTGAAGGCTGCAGCAACCAGCATTGTGGCGGATGATCACAACGAGCGCTTGACATACCGGTTTGCGGGGGACCATTTGTTCCGGACGTCCTTTTTCCTTCCCCGCATCCTTTACACGCAGGACCGGTCCACGCATCCTCTCCACGCAGGACCGGTCCCGGCATCCTTTACACGCAGAACCGGTCCACGCAGGACCGGGTCCGCATCCTCTCCACGCAGGACCGGTCCCCGCATCCTCTCCACGCAAGACTGGTCCCCGCATCCTCTCCACGCAGGACCGGTCCACACATCCTCTCCACGCAGGACCGGTCCCCCATCCTCTCCACGCAGGACCGGTCCCCGCATCCTCTCCACGCAGGACCGGTCCTTGCACGTATTCCACGCAGGGCTGTTTCCCTCATTATACAAAAATAAGAATCTCTAGTCTGCCAGAATACCAAGCTTTCAGGCAACGATTGCTAATGAATTTAGTATTAATATTGTTCCTAAATTCTTCATTAATTTGAATTCCTCACAACAAAATACCATTTAAACTAAACCAAACATAAATTTTATTTCCTACAAAACATTTCTGTCCGGTGAGGCGGTGACATCTTAAAAATTAATGCCCAGAATACGTTTTCTATTTTTTAGTAAACAAGCAAAGATAAAACAGTACATACATCAACCAGCTCGCTAAACCTGCGCCCGCGTCTTGTCGTGACATCAACGCGACAGCAGGCGCCGAAAACTCGATAATTCCATGCAACAAATGCAGGAATAAATGATAAAATAATCAGACGATACGATGTTGCGTTGGTAAGTTTGCAAGCAAACTAGTCGAGAAGCCTATACAACGTAATTATTTAAATACCACTCGCCATTTTATTTATTCGCCAAGATATGCTAATGAAGTGGACGGACGGTCAGAGAGTTCTTCGTGTTTTATTGAGCAACGCGGAATAAATGCAGCCGTCGTAAGGTGGTGACATGATGGTGTAACTTCGCGTTTAACTTGGAGCTAAGGTACGTCCGTGTTCTTATGAATAATAAAATTATTTCAGTGTGACTAGGTGCAACAGCTGGAATACAATGAAGAAATTATTAAGCTTTTACAGTAAAATATAAAAAACTCGAATAGAATATACATTAAAAAAAATTACAAACCACGTAGAGCTCACAACTCGCATTAATTAATTAATATTAATTAACATTAATAATTTTTGTCTTAGTAAATTAGTTTTTTGACTTGAAGTCGTTTCAGTAAACGAAACCAATTCTTATACAATTCGTCCTGTAGATTGATTCGTCCTTTTTCGATTTCCTCAATCAGTCGCAAAATTTCTGTCAATTTACCAGTTTTCTCAGGCATTCACAAAATCCCCTTCAATTTGCCCAACAGTTCAAATAAAAGTTTCGAAGTGAGTAGCTAGTGGAAGAAATCCTGCCATGCAAGCGACGCGCCTAGACACGACCTGCAATGTCTATAGAATTCTTCCTAAATGTACCCAAAAAGTAAGATCTTCAATCTTGACTAAACCAGCTATTTTTGCCATTAATCGACAAGAGTTATAGAAAACATACTTTTTACAACTTCTTCATCTCGCGACGAGTTATGATTTTTGTAACTCTATTTATTAACTGAGATTTTTCAACGGGCTAATTTGCATACATTGCACAAACCTAAATTTCAATTAATTATCACTATTTAACGAGAATTAAAACAGTTCTTTTTACGACTTCAATGGGTCTTCTAACATTCGACTGCTCTGTATTTCAATTATCACATACTAGAGTCATCATCTTTTATTATCATCAACTAATATTTAACTATTACGATTATTGGCGGTGCACTCTAAGCCAATTTTTTAAGTACGAATAGTCAAAAATTAATTTCAAATTTGTTCGTATTCTTTACTGAGTGAGGTGAACACGCGTCGCTGAGGTGTCTCACGCAGCTGTGGAATAAGGCACCATCACTCGGCCTCTGATTATATGTACATTATTTGCTTAACAAAAGACGTTGAGAATAAATTTAAAGACGCTGCCTAAGCGTGACTTCCCGTGGGGTAAACCTTGACCTCCACCATCATGAGACGGAAGGTCAGCTTCCCGTTTACGTTGGAATTTCAGACTTCAATGCTGACTCATAGGTGTTGTGTTTAAATTAAATAAAAACTTATAACATTAAAAATACAAGTGAAATAATAATAATAATAAACTTAGAAGTATTATTTATATCAATAATATCTTTAAATAATAAATGATAACTTCAATGCAGATCAGGTAGTGAGAAATAGAAGTTGTAGACGAGAGGTGACTTTAATAATTGAAAATAAACGTCAGCTCGTTAAAAACATTTATCAAGGGGAATACTAACGCGCAAATAAAGTAGATGTTTTACGTAATCTTTTAATAATTTAAGATTAGAATAATTTAGAATAGATTAATAATTAAGATTAGGTGATTACAGATATAACCCGATATTTATTTTTATCTCAACATATTTGGGGCATTTTACATTTCAAATAATTCATTGAAATATTATTCATGGTATTATTCCAATATAAGAGGAAACTCACTGCCTGAATAAGACGATCGTTAAAAGAAGAACATTCATAATTGTGCATAATAATTTCTAAAAGAACAAAAATTCTTAATTATGAGGTAAGCAGCGCACTTATATTCAAGAAACGACTCACGGCCTGATTAAGATGATTATCATGAAAAAACCTTCGGAATCGTACCGAATAATTTCAAAAAGAACAAGAAATTATAAAATTAAGTATACAATGAATTTATATTGTAAGAGCAACTCACTGCCTGACGACGCTCTGGCTCGGCACGACGTGGCCTTCCGTGTAGATCTTGCGGTACCCGATGTTCAGATCGAGCAAGTCCTGGTACACGAATAACAATACACTTTAATCAATCAAAAATGTTCAGTTCAGAGGTACACATCCCATGTGATAACCAGCCAGATATTCTCATAAGATATCATGTTATACCGTTTAGATGTTTAGATCGAGCAAGTCCTGGTACACGAATAACAATACACTTTAATCAATCAAAAATGTTCAGTTCAGAGGTACACATCCCAAGTGATAATCAGCGAGATATTCTCACAAGATATCATGTTATACCGTTTAGATCGAGCAAGTCCTGGTCCACGAATAACAATTAATAATAAATAAAAAATGTTCAGTTCAGAGGTACACAATCGATGTAATAATCGGCGAGATATTATCACAAGATATTAAGTTATACGTTCTAGGCAGGGAAACTGATGTTGAAATTTAAACGATAAACTCTCTCGTAAGTTTAACAGCCTTGCAAGATTAACTATCTTTCAAGATAAAATCTCTTTTTTTTTTTGCACGATAATATCCCTTGTAAGAACAACTCTTCCATTTTCGTCGCTCGATATTAGTGAAGTGACGAGAACATTTACATAAAACAAGGATTTATGCACATTAAGTCACAACAAATAAACATCAATAACAGCGGGCAATAAACACAGAAAATCTTAGTAATTATTGTTAATTTTTTCTAGTACTAAATATTAAGGGTTTATAACGTGCAACAGACCTGAGGGTTGTAATATTTGGAGGTGTTGGTGAGGTCGACAACGTAGCCCAGGTCAGCGCAGTAGTCGGTGAGTTCTCGTACGGAGAAGTTCGCTCCATGCTGATTATATTTCTGGAAAAGAAGTAAAAATGGCTTTAAATTCTTGCTTCAGTCTAATGCAATGAATAAACTAGAACACGTTTGATGTTATATTACTGATACCAGAAATTAGTTAGGGATAATGTGAGAAAACTGCAATGAAAAGAATTCTTAATAGCCGTCACAGGCTCCAATTATAAGATGAATTCATTAACCCATTTTTTAACGGATGCATATACCAGCAAGCCATTCGCATCGAAAAGCCTATTAACAGGAATATCCGTGGAAAAGAAAAACAATCTAATATTCTCAAACTCAAGAGAACAATTAAAAAGGTTTCTTCCACCATCTATACGATTTAGTTTTTATAGACGTGAAACCGTCGAAATTATCATTTAAATGAAATGAATGAATGTACCATAAAATAATGGCGATACCGTGTCCCAGCCTGAGCACGGAGCACTCCCAATGTCTATTCACTAAAGTCAAGTAAACAATTCCCGACACAATTTGCCCACAAACCCACCAAGGATGAAACCCCGGCGGTCCACGACACCTAAAAAGTCGCTACCTATAATAGGCTCATGCTTAAAAGCCAACCATCGTTGCCCACAATAACTTCGACACAAAAAAAATACTCATGTGAACGGAACAAAAATAAAAAATTACGGTAGTGAACGACAAGGTCCACCACGAAACGACAAGAGCAGACTCTCCCCAAGTCAGGCCCATAAGCAGTTAGTGTTTCGAGAGCGTGCATAATAGAGAGGTCATCGTTGTGTCGCACGGAGGAGGCTCAGAGGCTTTTACTACTCCAGTTGAAGCGAGTTATCTGATGTGAGTAGCGAGAGTAGCCTTGTTCGGGTGCTTAAAAAGAGACGCTTATGGCCACTCACTCCAACCACACGGAATGCAATGAAGAGATAAGCGCTTTGATCTCACACACGCAGATTGAATATCCGCGCTTTTCAGAGCATTTCTTTGAGGAGACAACATTCAGCAAGTTCAAGTGAATAAACTTCAAGGAAAGAGACACTAACTATAATGTCTCAGTAAATAAATCGTACAAAGAAACACCCATTAATTGCCCGACACTCCATAGATTTTTCCAGGCAGTGCTCTTAACGCTTTGTTATATAAAAGCGAAAATCAAATATTTTTATAAATTCGAGTCACTCAGTTCGTTCTGAATGATTCCACGCCATAATTTGACCAATTTTAATCAGAACCAAGTAGATTAGTCTAAGCATTGATTACATAGAGCAGCATTGGTCAGCTGTACACAGGAGCACGTGGTGCGGTATCAGTGCTACGATCACACGACGTACAACCGTAAACAGCAATCGCGCTCCTTACGAACAACAACACGATGCGCGTAACAAACAACAGCTGCAGTGCTCCCGCGACAGCTACCATATGTAGATCATTAATTAAGCTATGCTTCTGGTGTAGGCCCGATGTAGGCTGTATTGTGCCGGGATTGTCACATAATAATTCGTATATAACAGGGGACATAACAAGATAGACTTAACAATAAATTCTTGGCAAGATTGACCTGCCGGAGTTTCAGAATTATTTTAAAATCTATTTAGGATAAATTTGTGAATAATTAGCTTTAATAGACCAGTCATCACGAGCAATGAACTATTAACAAGAGGACATCACGTTAGAAACTGGGACTGCGGTACATCAAATGATTCGTATTCCGATATTTCAATTAGAACTTTAAAGGACTTGGCGTTTTGACCTCTGGCAGTAGAAATCCACATTCAGGTTTTAGAGTTTAAGAATGAATATTAAAAGAGGATACGAATACTATGAAGAAAGATACACGGACTCGATACTAGGCTACACATTCCGAGGAGATATCCTACAAACCCGGTTCTGAGTCGTGGCAGAGATGAATTTTGCCACTCGTGTGTCGAACTATCCCAAGCGACCGGGCAGAGACGAAGAATACGTTTAGTAAAATACCATAGAAAACTCCAAGTCGGACTAAAAATCAGTGTAGTGGAATATCCTAAGCAATAAGGGCATGAACACTATCTGTGTATTAAAAAATTCTGATGACTACGTTGGATGGATACGCGTTTCTCCGGTAAGTATCATTTGTACTTTGCTTAAAACTTAATATTTGCTCGGCAAAGTATCCGATTCTTTGAGGGTCAATGATAAGGAGTTAACCGGTCTCGAAAAAAATAACCGTAAAAATTCCAGCATCCCAAAAGCTCCTTTAAAAAATAATGTATTAATAAATCCTCCCATTAGAAATGAAAACGGTATTACTGAAAACGAAGTTATCTTAATTAATGAAAACTAATTATGAATAAATTCAGTATTCCTTCGCAAAGTCGCGTTGACTGAAGGTAAGGACAATTCGCGTTGACTGAAGGTAAGGACAAGTCGCGTTGACTGAAGGTAAGGACAAGTCGCGTTGACTGAAGGTAAGGACAAGTCGCGTTGACTGAAGGTAAGGAAAAGTCGCGTTGACTGAAGGTAAGGACAAGTCGCGTTGACTGAAGGTAAGGACAAGTCGCGTTGACTGAAGGTAAGGACAAATCGCGTTGACTGAAGGTAAGGACAAGTCGCGCTGACTGAAGGTAAGGACAAGTCACGTTGACTGAAGTTAAGGACAATAAGGTAGGATTCATGAGGTAAGGACAATGAGGCAGAGGTCGCATGTCGCGTCAGTAAAGGAAATCGCGGCACGAGTGTCCCCTAGAGTGATAATGAGATGTGGTCACAAACTCACGCTGTACCAATAGCTTCGCCGCCACGTCTCTAAACACCAACCAAAAACAAACAATTAGCGCATGGAAATTAAAGGAAAAATAATGTTTCGAGAATTAATTCGTGTTTACTTAGGGTGAGGCGTAAAATTACCCTGAATTCAGCAAAATGTACGTGAGGTACTGTTGTATTCCGGTTTTCTCTCACCCATTGCATTTATGTATAAAGCAAAATTGCGTCGCACAAGATACCAGGATATATTTCCACGCGAATGTTTACAGATGAGAAATTTGATTGATCCCGGACAACTGATGAATTCAGCTGCGTTTGCTTAATAAAAGGCTAGAACGAAATGAAGTACACAAAACCGCTTCAATTTTACACATTTTCTCTCGATATTTTTATGCAAACAATACGATTGTACAAAAATTTGTACAAAAAATTCCGAAACACAAAAAAGCGGTAACGCTTCACTCGTACATAAGACTTGAAGGAAAGCACTACAAACCCCAAAGAAATGACAAGCGGTGACGCTATACTCGTTTTTAAACATCTATAGATAAACACTGCAAAACCCGAAGAAATGACAATCGGTGAAGCTGGACTAGGATCCAAGAAAAGGACCAGAGAGCGGCTCTTAATTCATCAGAGATCGATGATGCGCTGCGGGCATGGATGGTCCCATCAAGATATACAAGATAAAGGACATCCCGCGACGCCAAAGGTCCAATATAGCGGCGCGCTAGTAAACTTATCGTGCTTGCGCTACGGGGCGTGCAGCAAACACACTGTCCAGACTTGGGTGCTGAGGTGTCGCTGTCGCTCGCATCTTACACAGCGTTCATGCGCATCCTTCCTGTTAGGCGCATAACGTTGGAATAACGTTGAAACGACGTTTAATTAACGTTATTTAAACGTTCGATGTCTAGTGGGTAAGTAAACAAGCCTTCATATGAATACCTAGAGTTGCAGTGTGGGTAAATATCGCACAGCAAGATAATAATTCGTTCATAATTCCCAGTCCTGCTTCAAATTACTTTAGTTACTGTTACGAGAAAACATTAACAAACCAGACGTGGTAGTCCGTCAAACACGATCAAGCATAAAATGTGGTTGCGTTCCAACGTGGCAGAATGAATAACTATTGGCATGAAGCACATGCTTCGAAGCACCCAACATACAAGGACTCTACCAATGACTCACGAATAGCCAAGTTACCGTTGAAGTTAACCCTAAAAGCTTCGAGCAAAGTCATGCTACACTTCATAGATGATGGAAATGAATCGATGTGGAAAATATCACAGGTTTTACAGTATACTATAGAACAATGCACGCGGCAATACCTGATTAACTATTGCATATAATTGTATCTCGTCACTTAAATTCGATTTTTGTGATGGACCTACAAGTGGTCAATAAATTAACGCAAGAAGATGAACTTTCTCTTCACTCAGTACTACCCAAATACAGAGCAATTAAATGTACTTGTGTCCTTTTTAACACAAGTATTCAAGTAAATAGAAGGCAAGTTATCTTATCAAATGACGCCCGCTTGAGTCAGAAGATCGTCGCCGCGCATCCAGGCATGCAAATGAGATGATTTCTCATCTAACAAATTGCGAGCGCTGGCCGGGTTAGAAGAATTAAAACGCCGCATTACGCGGGACTGGCCATAATTTGTTGCGATATCACGGCACGCTCTCCCAGAAGAATACCGTAAAAAACTACATAAGAATATCGTAAAAAATATACAAGACGGACGGACAGCAGCACTACGGTGTGGGCCGGTGTTGTGTCGGCCTCACGAGGCGTGTAAATTGCTATAGTGATTTTTATGAAAGTAAAGGCAGTAACGAGGCGATTGCCTTCACTTTACGATCATCGCGGCGTACGGAGCTGAATAAGCAATGAGTTAGTGAGACATTGACGAGCATGAATGACCTAGCAGGTGGCCTAGTATGACTTTCATAAGCCGTATCAAGAAACGTGAGACTCAACACTAGTTTTATACTTAAAGATTTACAAAAAAAAAACAACGAAGAATTATAATGTAAAATGCATAATTCCAAACAAGTGTACTCAAAAACGCTTCTTTAATCTTTCCGGGCCTTGTATAAAAAAATACGTGTCAATTTTTTCTCGCAAGCCGCTCATATCGTAACGTGGAATTAATAGGGCAGTAAAGCTTCAAAAAATGTCAAAGCATGGCTACCACAGTAAAAATAAGACGATGAGATTATATTCAGGTAAGAAAATTACTTTTGAATTGGTAAGCTTTATGAAGGCTGTGATGAGAAGGAGCGGTCGCCGTGAAGCGGGCGTTGTAAAGAGGGACCTGGAGTTCACTCAGATAAACAAATGGGTTATCTTTTTATTTTTTTTTCTAAAAAAAGGCCTCCCACGCTCACCATTGCAACAAAAAAAAATGGGTAATATTGTCCAAGCAACGACACTTTAATATCCACAGCACAGTCAGAGAATGAATCTAGCACTAATACGTTTTTCTGCCCAGCCAAACTGTATCAGGATGGCATACAAACTGGCAAAAAGTGAATCGCTATTAGTAAAAAGTTTCACATATTTTTCTGAGTGATCCTTTCAATGAGACAGTAGAGGGCAGCAGCAACAGCCAGGCACGATAACATACAAACATCAACTTTCTTTTAGCATTCGTAATAGAAATTAAATGCGGTATCATGCCAAACAATTTCAGCGTAAGCCTAGACGCACAAGAAGAACGCAAGAACACGTACTAGTGAAAAGAGAAAAGCTTTATCGTACAGCTCTAAAGCTTTTAAAGTAAAAGAAATCGTACAGCTTTAAGAAGAGGTCATTGTAAATGTTATGTAACGTCGTCTTATTTTCCCAGTAGAACAGAACGTAAACAATAACCGAATACCTGAGCGATAAGAAATAGACAAGCTATCTACATGAACACAAATATTTATTGTCATTGCTATGAAGATTGTGAAAGTGTGTGGCTATAATTAATCTCTCTGTAACTTGAAGTCCCTGAGTTTAAACTAAAATATGAAACTGAAATACCTATTGTTCTCCAAACTGACGTTAACTGGCCGTGTATGGCATGACCATGTTCCAAAGTCGTGATAACATAAGGTTTTATAATGTTCAGTTTTTATCGAATATATAATTATAACAGTCTAAGGTTACAAAAATTTTTTTTACTTATTTGCACATCGGTTTTGAACGATTCCCGTTTCATTGCATTCGTCTTCGCGCATATAGGTTCACTTGATTAATAATGAATGATAGCAGCCGTATTACCGCTAACAGGTTTCCAATGAGGAGTCCTCGATGGTTTCCGTATTACAGCTCAATTGTTCCTACTGAGTAATGCTTGGTCGAATTCCTGTAACCGCTAAAATTTTCCTCGTGAAGAATTAATGGTATTAACGTATTAACGCACAGGTTTTTTAATGACAGATGCTTGACCTAGTCCCTATTCCCGCTAAAACATTCCTAATAAGTAATGCTGGACGGTTTCGGTGAGCAGCTGTGTGAGGTGTCTCACGCAGCTGTGTGAGGTGTTTCACGCAGCTGTGTGAGGTGTTTCACGCAGCTGTGTGAGGTGTCTCACGCAGCTGTGGAATAAGGCACCATCACTCGGCCTCTGATTATATGTACATTATTTGCTTAACAAAAGACGTTGAGGATAAATTTAAAGACGCTGCCTATTAAGCGTGACTTCCCGTGGGGTAAACCTTGACCTCCACCATCATGAGATGGAAGGTCAGCTTCCCGTTTACGTTGGAATTTCAAGCTTCAATGCTGACTCAAAGGTATTGTATTTAAATTAAATAAGAATATGCAATATTTCGCTTCCCAGTGAGAAGTTAAAAATTTAAAAATAAAAGTGAAATAATAACATATAAAAAAGCTTAAGAGTATTATTCGTATCGATTATTTCTGGAAGTTTTATGATAACTTCAACTCAGCTGAGGTAGTGAGAAATGGAAGTTGCAGACGAGCGGTGACTTTAATAAATGAAAATAAACGTCAGCTTGTTAAACACAACTATCAAGGGGAATATTAACGTGCAAATAAAGTAGAAGATTATCGTAATCTGGTAATAATGTAAGATTAAAGTGAATTAGATTAGATTAATAATTATGATTAGGGGATTAGAGATATAGCCCGATATATGTTTTTATCTCAACATATTTGGGGCATTTTACATTTAAAATAATCCATTGATATATTATTCATGGTGTTATTCCATTATGAGAGGCAACTAACTGCCTGAATAAGACGATTGCTAAGAGAAGAACATTCGTAATTGTACCGAATAATTTCAAAAAGAACAAAAATGATTAATTATGAGGTAAACGACTCACGGCCTGCTCATGAAGATTTTAATGAAGAAGCCTTCGAAATTGTACCGCAAATTTCAAAAATAACAAATTTTAAATATTAAGTATACAATGAATTTATATTTATACAGAGTTTCAACAGTTTTTCGAGTTTTTTAAAAAGCTTCCTTTTCAATTACTCATAGGCGTCGCATAATGATTCTGGATAAAAAAGAAACGATCGCAGTTCTGAGATAAAAATCCATATATTCTAACGTTTCGGCTATCTACACTTTAGCCATCATCAGAGTGAATAAGATGAATATCTGGAAAGAATAGAAATTCAGATAAAAATACAGTAAACTAAAATATCAGATCAGATTTTATCTATACAAATTAAGGAAATTTGACATCTTGGTATTTTACATTGATGTACGGATTATTTTGTCTAATAGCTATTGCCTCCGCTAAGGTCTAATACTTCAGAAAAAGAATGAATGACAGAGAAGCAGTCATATATGTTGTTGGGAACAGGGCTGTTGTGGTCTTCTATGAAGTGCTTGTGGATACTGCTGCTACTATAACGGTGCTGTTTACTTCTTCGTTCCAAAGTACAAGTGGTGTATCCGAGATATGAGGCA